ACCAAAGTATTGACGGTAAAGGCATTTTTGAGCCAAACTATAAATGGAGGGCATTTTCGTTCCTTTCACATAGTTTAAGGGCATTTTTGACCCTTTTCCCTATTAATTATTACTATTTAAAAAAAAAGAGATATCTGACTTCCAGAGGTCAGTAATTTTATTATTACCTGGCTATTATTTTTCCCAAATCCCTCAAAACCCAAGTGGTCTCTCATATTGTGAAACCGCCTCACGCTCACATACGCCGCTAGTCGTCGCAGCTCGCAGCTCGCCGCCGCCGCAGCTCGTAAGTTTACTGTTTTTTTGATGCAGAATGAAAGTGGCTGAAGTTGTTAAGTTAGCACTTTAATCCCTGAAGTAGTAGTATTATATTTTGTTTAATTGCACTTTAGTCATCTTTGTATGAGCTGGCATAGCTCTGTCAGAAGCAGTAGTAGGTGAGGACACTGTTGCAAGCATACTCTATGAATCAGCTAGGGTTGTGGTCCTATATATATTGTACTGATGAAAATGAAATGGGATTATCTTGTTTTGCCATATATCTCTTAGTTGTAAGTTAGCTTAGCAACTAGTTGTCTTCCTCATTTTCTATTCCCTGAATTTCCCCTTTTTCTACTGTTCCATTGATTATTGTTCATCAATATTACTGTTCCATTGAATCTGCATTATACATTGTTGCGTAACAGGGGATTTCCCGTGGAGTTCTTTCCGGTTTTATTTGCAATCCCTCGCATGGCTGACTACTTGTCACATTATATTGTTGCGAGTCCCTTGACGATCCTGATACCAAGATAATGAGACCAGCACATGAGGTAACTTAACTATGGGCAAGCGCAAATCAGTCTACTTATGAGCGTGTACTAACTAGTGTTTGAATAGAATGCACACCTCGTCTCATGATTTGCATTTGCACACATCGTCTCATTGATCATATTGAAGGAAATATGTTCATTAAGTTGGTAATGATCAGTTTGTAGGTAGAAAATTATTTTGAGATTGATACCTTGTGGAATTAGTCGATGTGCGTGTAAGTTGACCCCTCGGACATCACAGTTATAGCAATGCAACGTCTTTTTTGATTACTTCTCCATAAATAAAAATACAAATAATATTTGAGGTTTCCAAAACGTGTACTTTCCTTTTCTCATCAATTTAGGCTTCCCACTCACTTATGCTTTTCCTAATCAGTTTAGGTTTGCTAATAATATTTTATTATAAATAAACTTGAAAGGGGGTAAGTCTCCCAATATTGATTTCTTCTCTCAATACTTGCAATATGTTTTCAACAGGGTTTGTATGCCACAACTGCTTCAAGAACTCTTTTGTTAGCGTTGCACCAATTCCCCCAATTGCTTCTTCTTCTTCTTCTTCTTTACCCTATTTAACCATTCACTTTACTTTCAGTATAATACATCAATATTGGTACATAAGACCCAATATTAATGATCAAGCATTCGAATACCGGGGTGCAATACAGGACTACTGTTCAACCACGTCGACCCAAATTATTATTCATCTTTCCGATACCATGTTCTATGAGAAACTCAATCACGCTATATCACAAGTGTTTATGCCTTTTAAGCACGAGTTTGAAGATCAACAACACGGTATAGTTGAAGAAACAACTAGTAAGTTGCAAAGCATCACGACTACTGAGATGTCAGAGGTATGTGTGCATGTGGAATTACAGATTGATCACTATTGCGATGGAAGAATTTTGTTATCATCATCCATGGATGGAATGGTGCCGGCAAGTAAATCATCAATAGAGTTGCTAGAGCCGATGGAAGCTGATGAAAGAAATAGCAACGATGAGTGTTTGGTATGTCTAGATGAGCTAGGGGAAGAAACTGAAGTAGTGCGCTTGCCTTGCTCTCATATGTTTCATGCTGAGTGTATTACCAAGTGGTTAGAGAATAGCCATTACTGCCCGCTTTGCCGCTTTGAGATGCCCACTAATTAGACAAGACTGCATAAAGGATCAACAATCTAAAGCCAAAAACAATTTTGCATTGCTAGATGTATAATAATTAGTTGATATTCTTTCATGTATTTGGATTAGGAACTTAATACTAAATGACAAAGTTAAGGATATATCAAACCATTTTCCCTTCATTTTTGTAACA